AAAATAATTAATATAATATTTATACTCTGATCGACATTCAGGACGTGTTGTTTGTAAATATAAGTCACACAAATTCAACTTTTCTACCTGACCGCACCAATTTGTTACTTTCACGACACCTGCTACCAATAACGCGTAAATCATTATTATGGCGACGTTCTTATCGACTGGATGATTTACGGCCTTTTCGCTTGTTACTTCGTATATAGCACCGCTTTATTAGCTACTAAATTACGTACTAGTTGTTAGCCAATTGCCATCAAATCATTGTCCCTTTACAGTCAAGGGAAGTGGTCGATTCAACAAGTACGCAACGAAGCGAGCTTTTGGAAATCTCCCAACCAAATCGTAATTAATGGCGACTTAAAACTTGTATATTCCGTTTAATGATCACAAAATACACGTACCAACACCAACCGATCTTAAATCAACATTTTTTCTGTTGCTTTAAGAATTAGTAAAGAGTCATGTTTAATACCAATTGGGTACTTACTTTTAAAGCAAATGGTAATTATAATTATCCGTTATCCGTTTCTTGCCAATTTCTTATTGACTTCCATAGAGTCCTCTGTTCTCCTACTCTCTCTAATACCTCTTCATTTCTATTCTTCTCTATTCACGGGATCCTCACCTTTCGCCTATAACACCACATTTCGAACGCTTCTAACCTTTTCTTTTCCGCCGCGCTCCAGACCTACACCTTCAACAATCTTTTCCGAAGCGACTCGACCCTGCGCTATCCTCCTTTTTATATCACTACTGCTCCTTCCATCCTGAACTATGTGACTTCCTAGATATCGAAAATTAGTCACTTCTTCTAATTCTTTGTCTCCTCTCTTCATATTCGCTATCTCCCTACTTTTTCTTCCCTTGCATACCAGTACTTTTGTTTTACTTTTATTTATTTTCATACAATACTGTTTTGTCAGTATCACTTACATTTTATTTAAGGCTATCTGTAACTCATCTTGCTAAATGTTAATACTGTTATATCATCTGCCAATCTAAGTCTACTAATCTTTTGTCCCTTTATAGATATCTATCTGTACGGTTGTCCTGTCTTTAATGATGTTGATAAATTATTATTAATTATTATTAATTACGAATAATAATTTAATCTAGGTCTACATCTGTCAATTTTAACTCATGTTTGCTTCTAATATGTTTCTAACTAGCACTTAATGTGTCATGTCATGGGAAAAGGTGTCGTACCAACCCACCATTTTTTATTGACTCCCATGCGCCCTCTGTTCTCGTAGCGATCGTTTTAATACTTACTCATTTCTAATGCTTATAATATCTATAACGTTTTTACCATCCTCCTACAATACCGCATCCTTAACGTCACTTTCTTTCGATTCTTTTTCTTTTCCGTAGCGCTCACCGTCCGCGTTTCATACTCATACTACATGGTCGTGTTCAGAACATACAGTTTTAATAATCTTTACTCAACTTTGAAATTTTTTCAATTAATTTTAGTTAAATAAAATTGTAACGGCCTACCTAAAAAGCCTTTTGAATCGAAGATACATGGCATGCGGCTGCAACAAATGCATGTAGCATATACAGGACATATTTATAACAAATACATGTCAGTTAATTATGTATCAAATTAAGAACGGGCCTCTTTTCTTAATTGCACCACACAAAAATATGTTAGGAATTCTGTCGCGACCGAATGTCAAATTACATCTAAATATAAAATTACATTTTTTAATTACCGGTAATGGCCGAATCATTCATGGATGACGTTTGTTATGCCGCGTATGTATATATACTTGTAAGCGGATCAAAATACGAACTTTTTTGTAAACCAGTTCCCTCCGAGTGGCTCCCCATCGGGATTATGAAATATCGCAGGAATTGCAAGGATAACCCTAATTAAGAAATTAACATACATAGATGGTAAACGGGTTTATTGTGTATAATATTACGTTCCTTTATGCATGTATGCATCAGGTTTAATTGTTCTTATAGCAATTCTGTTTATGTAAGGTTAGCCACCTTGTTGCAACTAACTGCTAATTGCAGGTATTTTTCGTGCTCTCTTAATTGACATTGAAATTATTTATATCGAGTAAAAATAAACTAATGGATCGTGAAAATGCGGATGTCTTGTTCTTTTACCATAACGATTGCAGTGTTTATTAATGTTATCGTTTCGCGGATTGCTGCAATTACGAATACCCTCGACGTTTACGGAGCGTAAACATCGAGATTTTTTCTCATTAGAATTTCTTATCGGGGAAATATTCATAGAATCAGTTGCTTGATTTTCATATTTGTATTATCGAGCAATTGTCATGATGAAAGTGAAACAGTTTAATGCCGAATATTAATCCTTTTCGTGTTTAACTGGAGATACATGTTTTGGGTTTTCTATTTTACTGGTTTTGGACAATGGGTGAATGCCCTAGACAAAAATTTTCAGTCTCTCAGAGTCCTTCAGCGTCTCTGAGAGCGTCTCTCACAGTCTCTCAGTTATTGTCTAGGTGTTTTTATGGATCTCTCACAGTCTCTGTATGAGAGACTCGAAAGATAAAAATTATAAGATTCGAGACTGAATGAATAAAACTGAAAAATTGAGAGACTCGAGTCTCTCGTAGAAAGACTGGGATCTCTGAAATATGTTGAACTTAGACAATTTTAACCATGTCTATCGAAACACCACTTATTGAGAGATTCGAGTCTCTCGTTCAGAGACTGGATACGAAATGAGGATCTCTCTATGAGCGACTCTAGTCTCTCGTTCAGAGATTCGAGTCTCTCGTTCAGAGACTGGATACGAAATGAGGATCTCTCTATGACTCGAGTCTCTCTCTCTGAATAAATAAAACTGAAAAATTGAGATTAGAGTCTCTCGTAGAAAAACTGGGATCTCTGAAATATGTTGAACTTATGTAATATGAAACATTTCGATTCTCTCGTTTAGAGATTCGAGTCTCTCGTTTAGAGATTCGATTCTCCCGTTTAGAGATTCAAGTCTCTCGTTTAGAGACTGGATACGAAATGAGGATCTGTCTATGAGCGACTCGAGTCTCGTTCAGAGACGCTAAACAGTTTTTTTGACAGTCTCTCTCAGCGACACCAGAGAGACTCGATGAGAGATGGAGACTCGAGTCTCGCTTTTAGAAACTCTGAGAGACTGAACATTTTATCTCGGGTGGGTGGTATATCTAATAATTAATATATCGTTTAGGAATTTTTTATTTTGTAATTTTAGTATCTTCGTTATGCTCGAAACATATCTGAAGCACAGTGAATCATTTTGACATCAAGTTTGATTTATTAATGTTTCACAATAAGTGCAGCGAAGAATTATATGTCACCGGTACGATTTAATATCCTAATAAAGCTCTACAAGGGAAGAGAGAAGTTTCAACTTTGTATTTGAAAGTATTCAAGGCATAATAAAAAATAGTGACAAATGAACCAATGAAAGAATGTTGCCATCTCATTAGAGATTTCGAACCTGAAAGATTTGGGTGCATCAAATCAAACCTTCGGTAGCAAAAAAATACAATGAAGCTACAACCCGACAGTTAAATCGAATTTGTCACCTATTTTGAGTTGTATTCCGCCGTGAAATTTCGTATTTATTTCAATCAATTACCGAGTGTGGTGCACCCTTAAAAATAAAAGTGGTGCAGACGAAAACGGTAACGTGAAAGAGACGCAGCCTGTAGGTCGTGTGAATTTTTCGAAGTCGTTGCACTATTTATATTTTTTTTAGTAAAGCGTCTTCTAAAAAACCATTTACATCTACGTGTTTTATGGGTGGTTCACCAAAGCTGCGACCTGTCATTCATCGCCGTCCTAATTCACCCTGATTTGTTCAAACGCGTTCGCCACTCGGTTACTTACACCCTTTGGCAGACAAAACATCCTCTCTATAATGATTTTTAACATATTTACGTATACACTAGTGGCGAATTGAAAATCGAATGTGGGCATATTCTACTATATCAAAGGGCGGCTTTATCTTAATATAGGTAAATTCCTACAAATATACTTTGTTCAATAGATTTTGAGAAGTTAGTTAGTTTAAGCCAGTTTTCAGAGAAGTAGGTGATATTTCAGGTAAATGTTTTGCCTTACCTGTAGATATAAAATATAGCGCTCATCAGGTTGTTTCGATTCAAAACAGAAGCGAGATATCGACGTCAATTATTATGGACTAGATAGTGTACTTGTACCTACCTGAAACAAAAAGAGATAATTAGTAATTACCGAGATTTGTTAAAAGTTTATAAAATGTATTGATTGTTAATAAATCAACACCTTCACAGTAACGTTTCTTTTACTCTATAAGTATAGACTTTCAAATGTTGCCTAAAAATAAAATCAGTCAATGAAACATAAAAAAGAACCTTACAGCTTGTTTTATCTTAAAAAAGTTCAAAATTTTTCGTTGGGAAATTCCAAGAAAACCTGTTAATTAGGTATATATTTTTTGCGATAAATCTACAATCTCCAAATCAGTGGTTAAGTGACTATAAGGAGTTATTAAAGTCTGTAAAAGGCGCATTAAAATAAACGACGAAAATAATTTTTTCTTCCACCTTGAGAAAAGAGCATATATGAGACCTCCTCCGATCGCAGTCCTTACAAGTTTCAACCATTATTCCACGTGTTTTGTTTCGGATATCATATCCGTTTTGGTGTCTGGATGAAAGGGTTTGAAATGATCGGATCAACAAAGACGTACGCAAGCAGTAAAAAAGTGCCACCCCTTGCACGTGATACAGAATGGCTTCCTAAGATTAAACGCATCCGGTTCACATTCTTCATTTTTTAACTGTTACAGCAACAACGGCATCGAGAACAAATGCTTGTGTTATGACAGAACGCACCTTCGAATTTAACAACGACCATGTGTGTATGTATGTATGTATGTGATACCTTCGCGTTCATGTCGATGTGTACGTTTACAATGGGTTCACCCTTGTGACTATTGCAGTAACATTCTTCTTATTTAATGATCATTGAACGAACCCTAAATAGGTATTTATTTTATTTCAAGTTTTCGTTGAAATGAACAAGGACCAATTTTTTCAAATAGTATACTAATATTTAAAAATAATCCGCAACATAAAAGCTAATATATGTTTAGTTAAAACTTTGGGAAATAAGAAATAATATTGTTACTTACAGTACCTGCTGATGTAAGTTTCTGGTAAAATAAATTACAGTGTAAACTCTTTATAACGTTACTCGATTTAAAGACAAACTCCTTAAAACGTCGAACTTGCTTGACTTTGGTTGGTTTACATTGTTTTCTATACAATATTACACTTTATATAGCGTCACGCTCACTCTATTTAACGACAACAATGCGGCATTATAAATGATTTAGCAGTACTTTCTAAGTTGCCGAAATAGAAAAGAACTGCAGCTGTGTACGTTGTTGAAGAAGACGATCCTGTCGCTCCACCAAGCATCAAACAAGCACTTGATGCAGCGAAACTATTAAAAAAATACTTTTTATATAATCAAGTTGATCCAGCAGTATCTCAAGATATGACAATGACAAAATACAATTAAAATATTGGAGTAGCAAAAAACATCAGACGAAGATAATAGGCTATACGCAATGTATGAATAATAATGTTCGTGTGCAAAATGTGTACTATATTGGTTAATGCATATTATTATAGAATAGTAAAATAATATCTTTTATTTCTCTCCATTTAACGACCACTCTTTATAACGCCGAAAAATGTTCGGTCCCTTAAGTGCCGTTATATAGAGTTTACAGTGTATATGAAAATGTAAGGCTTCTAATACATTTTGGGTTTTTACATACAGACGAAAGTAATAAGAAAATTAAAATTGTTAAAAAAGCAAAACTTCATTAAGAATTTTAAGTTGGGTACCCAAAAGATCATAGTCGGCTCTATAACTGTCTGGTTAGAATTATATCTTTCAACAAACGTCTTTGGTTTCCTAAATTCCTGAGAAAGTTGAACTTTCATTAATGTCCCATGCTGACAACATGCTCAAATTCTATTTGTCTGCATACCTTTCTGTTACACATCAATTGGTGTAATGTTATTCCTTTTTCTTTATTAGTGTCCGCTGCAATTCCTGAAGGAAGAAAGTAAATGCGACAGTTTAATTGCGGACTTAGTCAATTTTGAGCGTCCGAACTATAGGTACACAGAAGACATATTAGATTGTTTCTCTTCTATGATTCTCTAGATTTACAACACATAAAAATCGCTTTAGTATGTATGTACGTATAGAACCTTGAGTATAATGTTGTTTTCTAGGAGTTGACGATTTGTTTCGCCAATAACTAACATCCAACTGTACCCATAAAAAAACTTAGACCCTTCGTGCTGGTTCATTTAAGTTAAAGTTTTAACGTTCTAATCTAGATATTTGTCTAATTTCTAAAAATTACCAGTTGTTATTTATTTGTTTATTTTTCATATTCTGTCATGTGTAACACATATTTTACCACCTTATTATTTCCTCATTTCGCATCCTGACAATGTCCTCGCACTTTTGAATTAATTTCTTTTTCATTCGAAACCCGGGCGCATAAATCGTTTACGAAAGTGGCTTGTGTTGAGTTGTGGCTAAAAAATTGATTTATCACCGACGTCATTATTTACTGTCTAGTTGTAGTCCAATTTTGTTTTTTATTTTCGCCTTAATCATTTATAAATGGAATGATAATAACGAATTATTATTAGCAGTTTCTTTTTTCCCACACAGCAGGCGGAGAGAGGAACAAATAAATAATGAAGAGACGATTTTTACGTACACTTTCGGTTCCACTTGAATGCCCGAATATTTTTACAGTCACAAATCTATCCGCAACTGTCCCAATCCACTTTAAAATCAAAAATAACTTTCAGCAACCGCACTAGAAATAAGCACTTCAAAAAGAAAGCAATTCTGTTTTGTCTTTACGTAGCAAGCTTTTTTTCTCACACATTTCCAAACAAATAAAGGTATTATCTATTCTTACTCACGGTTATTTAAACAAAACATTTCTGTTTTCTCAGATTTTAGCTCCCGACGGAAAAACAAAGAAATATTTTCAATTTGAAACCATTACATCTATCTATCTTAGGATCAATGTATCACAATTGTATTTTTAATTACTAATAATGGTTACTACGAAATATTAATGTGAAAATTCATTTTCAATTTTCCATCCACTACAAACTACCTCAAGTTAATGAGGGATATTTCTTTTTGTTGCTGTTGTTACAAAAATTTTCCCTCATTGGAAAATTGAAAATGTATTTTCACATTAATATATCACAATTGCAAAATTCATGCATCCTTTATGTTTAATAGTTTTCATTTGCCAGATTTTTGGCTTATCATAATTCGAGCTTTTTCCATTAAACGGAAAAGTAATTGACTAATCAAAGTTATCGATTAAAAAAATTGATCAAATTATAGGAATATGTAATAGCTTCAAGATAATCCATTTTCTGGATATGAATTTGAACGCAAACTTTCATGAAAATGTTTATTAATTTATTTTTTATAATGAATAATTAATTTTCCTAATAATCAATTTGATTAATTGATTAATTGACTATTCCGATTAATCGAAATAACGAAGTATTCAGATTAATCTAAATAACTGATTATTCCAATTAATCGAAAAGTAGATTGTAAAATTTAATAATGGCTTAAACCTAGTGTCAACATTACTATTTTAGCGAACAAAAAACAGATGAGCAATATTTTCGGCAATTGTTAATCTTGATCACGATCTCGATCATTCTTTCATGGGGTCTATTCATTTCGTTTGTGTAAGATATGCAAGTGCCGCTGAAAAGAGTTATTTCCAGCAAAAAGTTAAACGGCCGTCGGGACCGGCAATAAAACCAAATCCTTAATATATCGCAGCTCGTAAAACAAGTTCATCCAGAAAATTAGTAATAAAAGAAATAATGGCAATTTTCAACGCCTACTGCCAACACGCACAAGTAAGTGAGAGTAAAACCAATTCGCATTTTTAGTGGGTGCAGGTTCTTGCGGATGACGAGTAAAAATAATTCGGAAAAGAAAAGAAAACGAAACGGCTCGTTCTGGACTTCTTTCAAAATAGCCAGAATGTCTCCCAGCAGCGGCAGCTGGTGTAAAGGTACCTACAGCAGAACTGCCAAAAAAGTAGTCAAACATCCCTGACTCAAACCACCTAAACGCAAATAACTATGTATATGTATTAGTGAATTAATTTTTGAATTAATTTTACCTACTATAAATAACCTACTGGTGCGTAAAAGCAGGGGTCGGGTTCTATTCCCGACGATATCAGCAATAGTTTTTCCTCATTAATTTGAGGTTATCTCTAGCGGGTGCAATTAATTAAAAAATTAATTTATTGATACGTTGAACTAACCCTACAAAATTCAATGAAAATCCTTATAGCTTAGCATTAAAGTGGTGTTGCGTAAAATCAAGGCTTCGGGTTCGATTCCCGACGACACCAGCAATAGCTTTTTTTCATTAATTTGAGGTTATGTTAAATAACGCTACAAAATTCAAAATATCGCAACCTTATGTTTAGAAGTAAAAAAAATTCGAGTTATTAAGGAAAATTTCTGCTTTACCGTCAAACTTTTTAATGTTTGTTTCGAACTTCAGCAGTACATTATTGTTAATAGGTAGTACAATCTCAGATCACAATGTCAGATAATATCATTATCATTCTAACTCCACATGTTTTATATTGAGAGATAACTCACTTAAAGCTACACAAATAGTTTTGAAAGTTTTAATAACAAAATGGATTTCGGTCGATTGTACTAAAACTATTCTTTGAATCATTCTGATTAATACACTCTCAATGACCACAATAATCTCGAGTTTTTGACTCATGGCAGTTCAAAATAAGAATGTTTACATAGTAGTGATAAAAGTATGTAAATGAAGGTATCTCATTTTATATCACAGGTTACCTATCCCCAAACGACGACTGCTTGTATCTTTGAATCAACATTGTAAACGGTGCACATATGTACCTGCCTTTAAGAGAACTTTAGATCTTTGGAAGATGAGATCATGTGTTCTAAACGTCCATTTTTAACTACAGCAATTCCAACAGATGTGCGTATTCTGTTTATGCATTGTTGTAATTGAATTTACTTCCCGGCAAACAAACAGCGTATCGTTAAGATGGATGATACAATAGTCTCAAAGTGAACTCTCGGTTCACTTCACTTTTC